AAGAAAGTTACAGAAAATTAAAATAAGAGTACAGAAAATTAAAATAAGACCACAAAGAAGGTTACAGAAAATTAAAATAAGAGTACAGAAAATTAAAATAAGACCACAAAGAAAGTTACAGAAAATTAAAATAAGACCACGAAGAAAGTTACAGAAAATTAAAATAAGACCACGAAGAAAGTTACAGAAAATTAAAATAAGACCAAGAAGAAAGTTACAGAAAATTAAAATAAGACCAAGAAGAAAGTTACAGAAAATTAAAATAAGACCACGAAGATAGTTACAGAAAATTAAAATAAGACCACGAAGAAAGTTACAGAAAATTAAAATAAGACCACGAAGAAAGTTACAGAAAATCAAAATAAGACCACGAAGAATGTTACAGAAAATTAAAATAAGACCACGAAGAAAGTTACAGAAAATTAAAATAAGACCACGAAGAAAGTTACAGAAAATCAAAATAAGTAGCCCTAACTAAACTAAAGCAAAAACTTACACAAGTTCCAGTGTTAATTTATCTCTTTATCGAATATAAACAGTACTTAATAAAGGCTTAACTAATGCTAGGCCTAAGACTGTATTTAAAGACGTACTGTTGCAATAAAGTTAGTAATTTAACAGCAAATGTTTTGCGGATCTTTGCTAGTGTTAAATAATATAAAACTGTTTTAACATAATTTTAGTGCATGCTTAATACCTGCTATTGTTCAAACATGAACAACAGTTGGCATAAAGTACTTTATTTTATTTAAAATAAACGATTAATATTGTGCAGAAGATACCACCTAGCGATCAAATTGAAAACTAGTGGCTTTTTCTAATCTACCGTATAACATTTCGTGGCGCTTTATATGTAACACATTATTTAATTATTGGGGTAACTGTGCATCTAATAACAATGTTTAGCTGATTTTGATAAAACTAGATAAGTAATCAGGTACGTTCACAGTCTTAACTGAAATTATTATTTAGTCACAAGAGGCATCAGAATATCTCGAGAAAATTAATCGATATGGCCATCAAATTTCAATACTCTTACGGTTAATTAGACTATAAAGTTCTAATTATTTTTGCTGATAATAACCCATTGACACCGGTAATAGATATATTTTACCTATGAGTGTGATAAAATACTTTTGATTATTTCATTTGATAGTGTTTTACAGAAGTTGCTTCTCAATCTTGAACCTCGTTCCAGGTATTTGGCGGTAACATGGACAAAAATACTGAAAGGCGACACTACTTCAACCAAGTTTTTGTTGCTCGTTATGTCCGAATACATCCTACAGCGTGGAATAAACGATCAAGCATGAGAGTTGGTCTTATTGGATGTCCTCATAAAGGTGTGGTGCTGTTATTTCTTCATATATATATTTCGTACCATTAGTCTCGAAGAGTAATGATGTGCAATATGTAGAAACATTTCTACTTTAAATTAGTAAGCTATACAGAATATTCTGCTTTTTTTTTCTTACCCCTAAAGCCCCCCAGTAGCTAAGCGACAGGTCTGAAGGCTTATAACATTAAAAACCGAGTTTTGATATCCGTTGTGGGCACAGATAGCCCATTGTGTAGCTTTAGGCCTAACTACAAACAAACAAAGACTACCCCGAAAAAAACAACAACAAAAACAAATACACTTTCTCTTTCTTTTTTTTTTTTTGCCACAGCGTGATTGTTTGAATTTCGAACCCATACCTGTTTGTATAATACCTTTAAAAATGTTGAATATATTTTAATGGCTTATATGTAAAGCGGTTTCAAAGGGGTCTCTCTCTTCTTTTTTTTTTTTTTTTGTTAACCTTTGTATGAGTGGTCATTCAAGAATCATTTATTCTCAACAGCAATAATTACCAGCAAAATATTGAAACTTCTTCAGCGTAAAACTACAGATGATAAACATTTTATACACATTCAAAGGATTTAAGGATATGAATATCTAATAGTATGTTTGTTTGAAGTTAAGCACAAAGCTACACAATGGGCTATCTGTGCTCTGCCCACCACGGATATCTAAATCCGGTTTATAGCGTTATAAGTTCGCGGAAATGTTTCATAGAAATATAATTCTAAATGTACGTATCGAAAGATTATTTCTGTGAGTTCTGTGATTCCATTTATTAAAAGCTGCTTGAAAACAATTTAGTACAAATATTTTTTGTATTCAAGTATTAAAAAACTTGAACACTTATAACACTAAAATTCTGGGTTTGATTCCCATGATAGAAACAGCGCAGGTTGTCCATTGCCCATTCAAATAGTGATTAAATACATGATAAGGTAGCTATTGGTTAAATTAAATTTCCTGTCAAAGTTAATTTTTCTTGATTACATAGGCCTGCGATGGTTTTATTGTCTTGAAATTTTTACATGTTCTACAGTAATTCCTGTGCGCTGAATCCGAAAAATGATATCCATTTTTCTCCATCACGTACAGATTTTTCACAAAACGTTATATGTACTTTTACATAAGTGAATAAGTTTCTTTTAAATCGGGTAACATTTTGCTATGCTTAAAATGTTGACAACCACTGACTATAGATTTCTCTAGACCAATCGCGACGTGAAAGTCTTATCGATCGTTCTAGAACCCTCGAGAAACACACATAATAATAAAAAAATTGTATTGTGGTAAACGAATAATAATTTGATCTAAGTAAGAGTTGTTTTTTCTTCCCGATTTGTAAAAATTCCTTACATATTAGAAAAAAATTAATATTATTTCCGAACTCTGCGTAGCTGAATTATGGAAAATCTGTTATTAAAACCAAAACAACTTTTATGAAGTTTAAATTCGAAGGCCATGTTTTATTAAACAAGTCTGTTCATGGCCAGGTGGTTAGGGCGTTCGACTCGTAATTTGAGGGTCGCGGGTTCGAATCCCCGCTCCAAACAAAACTGCTCGCCCTTTCAGCCGTGGAGGCGTTATAATGTTACGGTCAATCCCACTATTCGTTGGTAAAAGAGTAGCCCAAGAGATGGCGGTGGGTGGAAATGACCAGCTGCCTTCCTTTTAGTCTTACACTGCTAAATTAGGGACGGCTAGCGATAAAACCTAGAGGAAGATGGAATTTGTAATTTGCTTAAAGTGAGTTAGTAAGTAGAAAAAGGGCTGAGCCAAGGACTACACCAAAGATACGCTACATTTCCAGTACCCCTTCCTCATATACATAAATGATGTCATTCCTTTGTAATTGCACCCTCCCCCACAACCCTAAAAGTATTGTTAATTCTTAATGTATTTGAAAAATAAAATAAAGCTAGTTTTATATTATTCTATTTTGAATATTAATATTTGCTATTCTGAGAGTATTATTAATTTTCATATTTGCCATAGGACTAAACATGGTGATACAGGACAGCGCAAACGAAATTTGCGTTCCAGTTTTGTTTGCGCAAAGAAACGTGTTTTTTTTTTTCCAATTCATTTACAAAGCTGAGACAGTTTTAACGACTTGTAGTCACTATTGTGATCCCAAATGTTCATGAATTATCAACAGATGAACGTATTAATCTTCTGTTTCTTCAAATTACAGGTGACTGTGGGCAAAGATTCTTCCGCGTATATGAGGATTCAGAATGTGGTAATTATACTTAATGCTTGTTTTTTTTGTAAAAATATAAAGTATCTGTGTGAGTGTGACAAAAATAAGAATATTCTTTACTTCTTAAGTATTTATTATAGTGCATGAATAACTTCTGCTTGTTTGAAGTTAATCACAAAGCTACACAATGGGCTATCTGTGCTCTGTCCATCACGGGTATCGAAACCCGGTTTCTAGAGTTGTAAGTCCGCAGACATACCGCTCACTTCTGCACAGTTTATTTATTGATCTTGTTTTTCCTCACGTGTGAGCCCCCCAGTGGCCCATTGTGTAGCTTTGTGCTTAATTCCAAACAAACAAACAAATCCTCACGTGTTAATTCATCTAAGTTGAATAATATAGTCTTTAGTGCCAGGGTCGGGTGTAGCTTTATGGTTAGCGTGCTCCCGATTGTGAATCCAAGGATTCATGGTTCGCGAGCTATACTCAGAAAAATGCACTCCAGGCTTTGGGGCCATGAAATATTTCAAATCTCATTATTTGGTAGTCCGAGAGTTAGCGGTGGGTACTGTTGACTGACTGTCTTCCCTCTAATGTATCAGTTCAAAATTAGAAAAGCGACTAGTGTAAATAGCCCTTGTTTACTCAAAAAGATAAAACTAATAATACCGAATCTATAAATTCAGAATATTCCTCCTTTTACAAATCAACTTGTGTAGCGCCTAAAAATAAAAACTACTCTGGGTCTAGTCGGTTGTTGGAATAGATAGAATCTATAGGGTATAAAAAACTCGATTTGCTAACGAATTTATTCATTTTTGTTATCTTATATCTGTTTATTAGTATTTGTTATCAACCCGAAACGAATTAACTGTTTCATAGTGGAAAACCTGGCTTATAAAAGGAAGACTTGGATAAATGATAAGCGTCAAAGCTGGGCGGAGTGGAAATATGGTCACTCATCATTGGCTGTGGATGGTGACCTGGACACGCAACTTGAGAAGTGTGCCATTTTGGACAATTACTACGTCGACAAGCCAGTCTGGATGGTGGACTTAGGAAACAAAAGGATGGTCAGAGGTGTGATAGTAGTCACTTGGCAAGGCAAGGGTCAAGGTAATATCAAAGTCAGGAAATGTGTAGTTCAGATATTTTTGAAAATATCTAATAACCAGATCGTGAAGATGAGATTATCATGACAAAAATATATATATACGTTTAAAGGAGTAATATTTGTGTTGTAATTATTGAAAGGAGTTGATAATCAAGTCAGAATACGTGAAAATCTGTTGAAGTTACTGTTAAAAGTATGATAATCAAATTAAGAAAGTGTGAAGTTTAGGTTTTGAAACATTTGGTAATCAAGTTACAAAATGTGAAGTTTAAATTACATTTTTTAGGTTTGAAGTTTAAGAAATACTTTATTTATGTTAATCGAGTTAGAAGTTGTGAAGTTTCAATAATTGCTTAAATGCGTAAAAATCAAGATTGAAGCTCTGAAGTTTAAGTAATTTTGAAAAATGTGGTAAATAAATCAGTAAATGTTACTTAAGGGTGTGATAAAGGTAAGTTTAAGTAATTATCGTAAAATATGAAAATCAAATTAAAATATATGGAAATTAAATAATTGTTTATAATACATAATATTTAGTAGGATTCCGAAACTCATACTTTAAACATTTTGAAATACAATTATTAGAAAAATAGAAGCAAAAATAGCAGAAGAATGAAAAAGCAAAGTTGAAGAAAGAACCAAATGCCTGAAAGAGAAATTGAAAAATGCGGATGAAACTTTCGAGTTGAGTTTTCAGCTCGAGATTAAGAACTTTAAAAAGGGGTCAAACGTTAAAATAATCTTAATATGTAGACCACATTGAAAGATGTTGATTCCTGAATAATGTTGAAGAAAAAATGGTCATGACACAGCATATGTTTGATGCATAAAGTTCTATTGAAACCATTTAAAAAACACAGATATCAAGATTTAAAAGGAGATACAAATTATAAAATTAACAGTAATATGTAAAGCAAGATAAAGAGTGTGACAAACAAGATTCGTGATTAGACAGCGTATTATTCTTTGGAAACCAACCAGAACCCAAAGATGTCAACTAAGAGTTATTACACTTGTGTCACCTGGAACCTCAGAAGCGAAATGGATTACATGTAACACATCAATATTACACTGGTATTTTTCAAAATCTGTCATGACTGTCACAATTTCTGATATTAAAGGAACTGCAAAATTTCTTTGACGTTCTCAACTTTTAGAAAGACTGAGAGAGAAGCCTATTAAATTGCAATTAAAACATTTTTTGCCATGTACTTTACTTCTTCCAGTCCGAGTTCACAGTTATCTAATTAATTTCTGAGTTATTCTAGATCTCCATCAGAGAGATATGATACTTCTACACTACTTAATCTGATAATTTTTAGATGTTGCTTTTAGTTGTTTATTTACGACTTTAATTGATTCAAGTGCCATCACTATCTACACAGCTTCCTTTAAAGATGAACACCTACTTTGCTTTAGTCTATTTCACATATCCTCAACCGCTATGGCATCAACGAATTGCCAATGAAATTTGCCAAGAAATCCATCATTTCACGTGAAGCATCAGAATAAGATAACTTAACAAGCTTTCCCGGCCCGGCATGGCCAGGTGGTTAAGGCGCTCGACTCGCAATCTGAGGGTCGCGGGTTCGAACCCCCGTCACACCAAACATGCTCGTCCTTTCAAAGAGGGAAGGCAGTCAAGTGGGTTGCATCCTTGACGTAAGAAACAGCTTTAGAAACGATGGCAGAGCAAGATCTGCCATCGGCTCAACGGTCCGCAAGGACTATGAGAAAAACAACAACAACAAAAACAAGCTTTCCCACATCCTAAACAAGTTTGGCTAAGGTCTTGCCCTTCACTCTTACTCTTCTTCTAAACTTTCTTCTGATGTAGCATTCCAAATCTGTTTTATAAAGCAGCAACTAACGCCTGAAAATCGTTACTTTTCTCAGCTGGAAGATGGCATGGTGTTGTTAAGATTGGTCCCTTGAAGTAGTCAGAAAAGTTAAAGGCTTGTTTTTTATACTCCACCCATTCACGTTGACAATTTGAAATGCCTTTCATGGTACCTTTCCATCATAGTCTGTTGGATTGTCGATGTTGTTATTGGCTTGCTAAATTACATAAATGAGATAATGGTATAGCTGGAGTAGTTATTGATGATTCAGCATTATTGATAACAGATGCCGAACAAATGGATTCTCCTATTTCATACTGCATAGTTAATGGCGTGTTTGAGGTTGGAATTCTTGAGCAAATGTGAAGAGAGGGGTGCTGGTTTAATCCTTGCATTTGGTAGCTCAACTACTAAATGTTTTATCCTGGTGTTGATGTTGATCTTGTTCTTATAATCCTTCTGTACATTTCTGGTGGGTTCCTTAATCGTGTCCCCAAGTGGCACATCGGTTTGTCTATGGACTTACAACGTTAGAAACCAGGTTTCGATACCCGTGGTAGGCAAAGCACAGACAGCCCCTTGTGTATCTTTGTACTTAATTTCGAACAAACAAACAATCTTTAACCATTTTGCTATTATTTTTTTCGTACATTTCTTGTGACTTGTTATTGTAATCTTTCTGTACTTCATAGACTTTTTTTATATAGCATGTTAATTTTATTGAAATAATTTTTCGTACCTCTCCTTTGACGTTTTAAATTTCAACCTGTATATTTTCTATAGCTTCTTAGACCTTGTCTTCGATTAATTGATTTTCGTTCATAACTTTCCTGTTAATCTTATGGTTTGTTCCTGCAATTCCTCTCTTAACTTCCTGTCTTTTCTTTTAGTGATATGTCTTTTTCTTCAAGATCTTTTAATTTTCTGTAACTTTCTTCGTGTTAACTTTATCGTACTTAATACTATCAGTGAATAAACTTACAATGTTGTTCTACGACCAACTGGAAAAATCTGAATTTCTCCTTTTTTACTTGATAATTCTGAAAGTTATTGAATGCTAAAGTTTACGGAAAAAAGACTAGCTTTGGAGAGGCTTATACAAGACAATGTAAAACTAACCAGCAGTTTGCTATCGTTAATTTCGAACCCTACTATCAGTTCAAAATTTGGAACGGCTTTGCGCAGATAGCCCTTGTATAGCTTTGTGCGAAACTCTAAACAAACAGATGACTTTAAGGATCTTTGCGACATTGTTCACAAGCGATGTCCCTTTGGATTCTTAACTTTCTAAGCTGAGTTTGACAAGTAGGCTCATTTGTTTAAGTTCACTTGCATAAAGTTTAGACGGTCGTTAATCCAAATTCAGTTCCTTCTTTGCTCTAGAGAGTGTTAGAAAGATTTAGAGAGAGAGAGAGAAGAGAATACGAATTTGACGGTATTACGGAGAGACAGAAAGATTATTTGTTTGTTTGTTTTTGAATTTCGCGCAAAGCTACACGCGGGCTATCTGCGCTAGCCGTCCCTAATTTAGCAGTGT